TGTGAGTTAGCAATGCCCTGACTTTGACAATCCCAGAGTTTGTTTAATGGCTCGATCTGTGAGTTAGCCATGCCCTGACTTTGATCAGTACAGAGGAATATTGTTTCAGAGTATTCCTAAAATTATATATATTTTCAGTTTTACAACCTCCTTTATGTAATAGTTTTATTTTTTATTAACGATCGAACGATTTTTTCCAATGCCTTTTAAATTTGACCAAGATACATATACCGATATGAATATATTTGTGTATCGAATGATTACACAACTTCATAATATAAAGCCGCCGTACCATACAAGAGAATGTGTCATTATATATTTTTTATATAAGTCATATCTAATTTAAATAGCCGTTTTCCTAATATCCGAAGCTGATTACATTGTGATTTGTGAAGTCGTCGCATTGTCGTCCTTGCCACAGGCTATCATTTATAAGTGAATAGTACATTGTACTTCAGACATATTAAAAAAAAAATCGAATGGAAACTAGATAGCTAATGATGCCGAGTACAATACAATTTCAGAGACCTTTTTTGTAAATTTTGAGAGTGGATTACCAAAAGGGCCCCGTCTAATTCGGTACTCACTGATTTCTGTACACTGTAGTCTAATAGCTTCGCAAATCTGGTGCTTCAAAAGAGACGTCTTTTTATATTTTTTTAATTGCAAAGTAATTAAGGATTGAGGTGCAACTCTTACTCTAAATCTATCGGAAATTAAAAAGAGAAAAGTTTGATATTCTCGATAGAATGAAATATAAGATATATTGTGATATTATTATGTTTTATTTTTAGAGATATTATGATATATTAATAATGTATTGATTTATTATAGAACAGTGTTGTTTCGATCCATCTAATACTGTCGAGTGCGTAAAAGCAAAAGAGGAAAAATAGTCTGTATTTAATAAACTAAATGAAAATGAAAGAGCCGGGAGATGACTTGATTCAAACGAAAGTTTAATTTAAAAAGACAGAATATATATGCTTGGCTTTTGACGAATTATCGAGATTTAGTTGAAAAATAAGGAAAATGAGAGCTGAAGGGATGATTAAAAAGGGATGAAATTTGGAAAGCGAAAAAAGAACTATGGTCGAATCTAATACTAGTAAGATAACTGGGAAGTTTTTGGAAAAAAAATCAAGTAAAAAAAGATTTGGGAATTAAGACGAATCGATTATGGTGCCGCGACAAAATTTGGAAAATAAACTCAGGCTGAGCAATGGTCGAATCGATGACTAGATTATTGAAAAGTTTGAAAAATAATAAAAATATGACGCTAAATTGAAGGGCCGTGAAAGGACTACTTAAGCGTTTGCACTTAATGTGTCTTGTATATGTCCTTGTAAATCGTTTCAAAATCCTTTCACGTGCTTATGATAATAATCTTACAAAAATAGTACAATTCAAATGAACAAATCTAACATTTCAGTATTCATGTGTCTATATTGCTTCTTTGTCCGCTCAAAACGGAATGTCTGTAAAGTTCATAGGGATTTTGGTATCAGATCCCATCTCAGTAGCGTCATGATAATATGAGTGGCAATTGTAAAACTAGTATATGCGACTATCCGAAACAGTTTTTAAGTACTGACTATTAATATATACAGAAGAAACAACAAATATACGTGTTGAAATTCAAGGCAAAAGTAAAGAAAAGCATTTTTCTTTTAGAAGTAAACAGATTTTTTACAACTAGTATATAAGATTACTAGATCGAAAAAAGCTTTTGAGTACTGACCGGATGAAATCATACCGAAAAAAAACCGCGCTACGTGTTGAAATTCAAGGCAAAAGTAAAGAAAAGCATTCTGCATTTAGAAGACTGAAAAGAGATTTATTACAACAAGAATATAAGATTACTGGATCGAAAGTTTTTTAGTACTGACCGGCTGAATGAAATACCGAAAAAAAAACAACAACAACAATGCTACGTGTTGAAATTTAAGGCAAAACTAAAGACAAGGATTTTGCATTAAGGAAAAAGTAAAGAAAAGTATTCTGTATCTATAGTTCATACGAAAAGAGATGTATTGTTTCGTAGGGCCCTTATGGATACCGGCCGATGAAAGGGCCACCCTGCCTGAACGAAGTTTACGTTCATTATATTTGCTAAAATAGTTCATTCATAAAATATGTTTTTGGCCTCTAGAAGACTCTAGTTACGATTTACGTATACCACGATGAACCTACTTACTTAAGCCTATCGCTCTCATGCGGGAATAGACAATCATTCCCAGCGATCCCTTTACTCCAATCAGTATGGTTTTGGACTTTCCTCGCAGTCAGGCGCCTAGTCAGTCATATGAAACGCAATGAAACTGAAATATTACTCGTATCCGTAGTTACAAGACCAACTTTTCAGTCGAACAGCCAAGGGCATCTCAAGCGTACTGTTCTTCCAGTCAACAAGGCTAGATACGTCGACAGATGGTGCATCGTTTAATTTGCCCGTGGATTACTAACATCCTATCTTTATAAAACCATATCCTTATAATTCCCTTGAAGACCCTAACGACTTCGGAGTAATATAATGAACCTTCTGGAAAACTTCCTAATATTGCGCTCAAATTTCAAAATATAGTTAAAACAGGTTTTCAAGGATCTCATGAAAAATAAGAGTCGGATAGAAAGAATACTCCGTATTGGATCTTTGTTAAGCCTACTCGATATATTATCTCTCCTGTTCGGTTGAAATACTTATTTTTACACTATACTTACTAGTGAATACTATATGCCTACCAAATCCCTAGCTATAGGACCAGAGCCTGGCAAGGATCTAAAGAAGAAACTTTAACAAGCTATTGTCAAACGCCTTTTTTTACATGTTTCTAAAACTTGGTCGCTTTTCGTCAGTTGCGTGAGAGTTCTCTGCTTTTCGAGGGCTATAGTCTGTAGAAATCTATCCAGAAAGGATTTTTTCACTCTCAGTTTATGTTATAAACATCTGTGCTAAGGCCAAAAGGTTGGAAGTGTCTTTCACCATGCAGACGAGGAAGCTTGCTCCATGGTCTTTTCGTCAGTTGCGCCGTGAAAGTTCTCTGCTTTTCAAGGGCTGTAGTCTGTAGCCGAGAAATCTATCAGAGTAGGATTGTTTCAGTCTTAGTTATGTTAAAAACATCTTTGCTTTGGCCCAAAGTTTGGCGTTATTTTTCACCATGCAGACGAGGAAGCTTGCGCCAAATTCTTGACCACGTATTTTTCGCGACTCCGCTCAAGTTTTCTGGTCCAAGGAAAGAGGTTCGATTCTTGACGGCTGTTCCATAAGAGAGGGTTCAGCTATCTGTTCCACACTATTCTTGAAGCTAATTCTTGTTGTCATGATGGTGGATCTTAGGCTTGAATTAGTACTATGGCTTAGATGTCCTCTTGGATAACCAACTGTCCGAGCTTTCTCGTACCAGGGTAGCAAGGCTTTGAGACCGTTTTTGTAATTCTCGTTAAAGACGAAGTAGATATACGGGGTGATGGCGTTGTTCGAGAAAGCCATCATGTACACGACTAGCTGAGCGTGGAAGAGTATGTCACAAGGCACTTCCCAATCCCAGTGATGGAAGCATAGTAATGTAAAAACTATTGATGGCGTCCAACAAATGAAAAACGCCAAAACCACCGTCATTACCATTCGAAACGTGTTGACGACTCGCTTCTGTCGGTTTATAATCATGTGTCCGTATCTTGTTCCGGGAATTCGTTGTCGTTTAAGTTTGAGGATGATTACACAGTAGAGGGTAGTTATTGAGAGGAGAGGGAAGGCGTAGAAGAGGATCATAATAGCAATGTGAATCTTCTCAACTGTTTGCCTGTAGTCGAGCGGCTCCCACGTGATGTAGCAAAATGCTTTTTTCCCCAGATAGAAGAGTCTATGGACGTAGAAATAAAAGCCGTGAAAAAGCATTGCAAGAAGCCAGATGGAAACAATTATCACGATACATCTTCGAGTGCTTCTGATTGCTGCTCGCAGAGGGCGCATAACAGCGTAAAATCGCTCGACTGCTACAAGCACAAGACTGTGGATGGACACCATAAGACAAACATCGTAAATAAATGGAACAAATTTACAGAGAAACTCTCCAAACGTCCCGCCTATCAGCCACGCGTTCCTGCCATGGTAAACGTGTGCCAGGGTTTTCGGGACTAGAAATATGGGCACCATTAAGTCGGCGATAGCCATGTTAGCAATAAAATAATTTGCGGGTGTCCTCATTGATCTGTTCCTATAGACGATTGCAACCACGAGGGTGTTTCCTATGACGCCAAATATCAGGACCAACAAGTACCCAATCGTTTCGCTAACTTTTGAAAAAGTGGTCATCGTGTATACTTCACAATTTGGGCCCAAACCGGTGCTATTTGTAGTGCTGTTGGCAGAGAAATTCATCTCTGAAGGACGAAAAGAACGGTTCCTGGGAACTTGAAATCAAACCATAAACTGTATCCAAAAACTGCCGGCTTCTTAAAAGCGGTGTGCAGCTATATCGATGCCAAATTCGATTCTAAGAAAGTTTCTTCCTTAAATACCTAAGAATGAAACTCGAAACCCAGAGATGTCGCTCGCAAGRATGTCAACCAGGTTCTAAGAACATCCAAGTAACATCGATTGCTTTTATGAGCCTCGTGACGTCAATTTCCTTCATCGGTTGACCATGTAGGTTCTTAATTAGAATTCTTCAAAGTGATGTTTTTTTAGAAAACCAATTAGGCTCTCCAAAACACTTTAGATTTCCATTGATTATCAAACCTGGTGCCTTATCGCTCGGATTGTTTCATTTTTCGTACCTCCTAATCCAAATGGCTCGCTTAGCATCAAGTTCAAAACTTCATTCATAACATTTGATTAATTTCAACAAAATATTGTCGCTAAATTACTTCAAACAATGAACTGAATTGTCTCGATTTCAGAAGTCCGAGAAATAATCATTTTGTACAAACAAAAGCATTTTATTAGTGAATGAGCAACGACGGAAAACTCACTAGGTTTTTGATTTCTTTAGATAAAAAATGTCTTTGAATTTCGCCGATTATTGCGCCGATTCGTAAAGCTCTTTCTACGTGTGTTGGTTGAGACAATTAAATGATTCATAACAGGAAGCACTTTGGTTCGAAAGGCAAACCATTTTCTTCTTTTTTGTGTGTGGATTGCTGACATTTTGCTACCTTATTCGCCTAGAGGAATTAGCTATTTATACGGCGCTTTGCAAAAATTCTGCAAATAAAATAAATATCAATATGTTGGGCGTGTTCTGGGAATTTTTAACTAAAAAATCGTTTTAATAAAGTTTTGATACATTTTTTCGTTAAAATATAGTCATGGTGTACAGTGTTAATGTTAGATATAAGCAAATAAGTCTCTATATGATGTATGTGTTTTGATATATTTGAATTTGCAGAATTGCAAAACCACTGTTTATATATGCAAAATGTTTTTTGAAGAGGTATGAAACCCGGAGAAGCCCGGAGAAGACACAGGAAAGAACCAGCAAACGGCTTTACTTAAGATGGTTTCAGATACAGTATTCGAACCCTGCGCGCCCACAACATTAAGAGTCAAGCTCCATCCGTTTTTTCCCGTTTACTTTTTTGCATAAGGATTATGTGTGATATATGTGATATGTGTGTGTGTGTGTGTTTGTGCATAGTCGATCACCAGTAGAACAGTGCTCGATACTTTATTTAGGACGAAATATATATGTGTGTGTGTGTGAAAGATTCTGACTCACGAAACAGTTCTGTAGAGAACGAATATGGTCGTGTGATTTCTTCACTTTACAAACACACACACACACACACACATAAATTCTGATCCTTTTGTGCATATATACAAGTATATCAAAAGTATATCAGAAATTATGTGGTATCATCCCTGATATTTTTTCGGGTTGCCTATCACTATGGCTTCCTGAAAAAATATCAAGATATAACTAGTGTGAGCTGCGTCGGTGTTTCTAATGAAACAGTTATGATGAAAAGGTAAATTATACACCGTGAAAAGATGAAAAAACTTACTGACGTTTCGGACGCTAGTCCTTCGTCGGAGTAAAAGAGAGAAGTGGTAGAAAGGAGTGTATATATGATAGAATAAGACAAAAGAAACCAATGAGAGCAAGGTAGGCAAGGAAACAAAAACAAACAATCAAAAG